TGTTTACGTCCAGCGGATATTCTCCAAAATGGCACCAGGGTGACACGGAGGAGACGAATGGTTGAATAAAGTCGTTTTTTTTTTCTTTTGTGCACAAAAAGTATTCTCGTAGCTTCGTAAAATTACAGTTGAACCCCTGATGTCACATGGATTATTTTACAGATCTCCTTGCTACGTTTCTGAACTTGAGAACATTTCAGTTGTATTGCTGTCTATGGAGGGTCAGACAGCTCTCCGATACCATCAAAAATATCTTAAATTGTGTTCCGAATATGAACGAAGGACTTACGGGTTTGAAACGACATGAGAGTGACTAATTAATGACAGAATTTTCATTTTTGGGTGAACTATCCCTTTAAAATGGTTTTAATGAACATTCAAACACATTAAGGAAAATACATTTATCTGTACACAGTAAAAACTAGACATCTGCACAAAAACCTGGAATTTTTTTTTATATAATCAAACTTTAGTCAGTGTACACATTTACATTGCTGTTTATGCAAAGTCACAATAGACTAAAATGATGACTTAGCTTAACTAACAAAAAGCGAGCATTACTTTGTCATGTGACTAACACAAACATATAGGTGTTTTGCTGCAACCACTTCCTCTTTCAAGAGCAGTACTGAAAAAGATTCCTTCAAAAACCAGAGCACAATTTAAGAACTGTCAGCAGTTAACTGATGATTCTGCCTAATGGTACATATTAACAGTTTAAATTATACTTATACCCTCCCTAATCTAGGCTAATTATTTTTGGTCGGTTTGTGTCATACTCACCAGACGGTTGTTCTCAAAGACATTTTCTTTTGAGAGGGAGTCAAAATCTCTAGGGGACAAAGAAATAAAAATATGTTTAGCAATATCTGAAGTCCAGAGTCATGAATTACAAACATCACAATGTTTATTAAAAATATATGATTTTTTTTTATTTTTTAGGTAATTTGGAAATTGTCAGTGAATCAGAGATCGGAAAATTAAAAGAAACATACAAGGCAGCACTGCCACTGATGATTAGTTCATATTAATAATGGTGGCATTATTTCCAGTTAAAAGAATGTCTTTATCAGTTTTGTATCAGTGCTGTGTTTGTTCTTTTCTAATTTGCTGTCTATTCATAAATCACCAGTTCACTGCAAACACCTCAAAGATTTATCTAGAAAAAGAAGCTTAAAGAATGAGACACACAACGTGTTTGGCAACCTGCTCTGATGTATCAGAAAAGTGTATGTTGGTTCATTTACAAAATGCCTTTTTATTCACCTAATCCTTAATTTTAAGAATTAGCAGCCTGCAGAGAAACAAAATGGCAGTGAATGGTCTAGTCACATCAAGTGTGAAACAATATATGCGCCTGGCTTAAGGAAACTAAAATTCACGCCTTTACAATAGAGGGCACAACACAAATGAACCTTTCAGAAGTGTATTCATACTTTTTAACAAAGTATTTAATTATACCATTACCAGGTTTTTACAAAGTTTGGTGTGTTTTGTTGATTTTGAGGAATACTGAATCTGTATTTGTGAGACAAGTAAAGAACAGCTGTTGCAGAAATTAGCACCTGTCTGGCATCTATATTTAAGCAGCTCATACAGTATATTTTACTATGAGTGTAATCTGATCCCAATTCACACATTTTTTTCTAATCTTAAAAAGGAACTGTATGCATTAATGCATAAACTAGAACAACAAAACTTCAATCAAGATTCTTTGTCATTAGTATACTGACTATATTCAATTCATTTCAAGAGATGAGTTCATTTCTTGAACTCAGAGTTAGGGATGGGCGATACCTCTTATTTTATTTTCGATCCGATACCGATATTTTCAAGCCCAGTATTGCCGATATCGATACAGATACCTCTAAACTAAACTGATCTTTTAAATTATTAAAATAATATAATCAGTAATTATACTAACTTAATATTAGATTTTAAAGCCATGTTTTTTAATATTTCATAGGCCTTTTTTGTTTACACTGTCAGAAATAAAATATACTATAATTGTATTTTAGCCCTTTACAGGGCAGTAACCTCAAAGGTGCAACTATACCCCTAAAAGTGAGCATAGTACCATACAAGTATGCATGCTTTGCAGGGTACCTCATGAGAAATAAACATGGTGTTACATGAGTACTAAAATGTATTATTATTACCATAATAAATGTGTGGTTACTGCAGTTTTAGTACAAATACTGTGGTAAACTGTGTTTACTGTAATAAAACCATGGTTAATTTTTGTAAAAGGCTGCCAGGCTGTTGTACCCCTAAAGGTGAAACTTTAGCATATTTTTTTCTGACAGATTTATTAACAATGACAATTTATTTATATAGCACAATTAATTACATCTTCCGTCGACCAATGTGCGTTCCAGTAGGTCATTAAAAACAGAAAAACACACAACAAACAAACAAACAGAAAAATTATAAAATCATACAAATATCCCATCAGCCATACACTTTAAAAAATAAAAATGTCTTTCTTTAGCCTGGACTTAAAAATATTAAGAGAAGAGGCTTGTCTAATGGATAG